ACCAGGACACGGGGACGTACAACAACTTTCGAGACACCGCCAACTATATCACTCAGACTGGCAACACGCAGGTGGACTGTGTGGATGACAAGGTGTGGCTGTCGCCGGCATGCAGGTTGCTGGGAAACGTTTCGAGGTGCATCCCCATGGTGACCCAGTACGAGGTGCACGTGCACATGCAGCTCGCCTTCTTCCTCAACTTCTCCATCGCCATCGTCAAGATGCGGGACGGCAGCCCGGAGTTCGCCCAGAATTATTAAGAGGTACACAGGGGAGGGAATTTCTTTCCCTCCCATCCTTCTCTACTGGTGGTACTCTTCTCCCCCTCTACCTTCCTCCCCCCCGCCCCCCCTCCCCCCTTCTCCTCTCCTCCTCCCCTCTTCTCCCCTTGTCCTCGTCTCCTGCTGTATGCCTGACATGGAGCTTTCACAGGAGTGCGCTGAGGGAGAAGTACCAGATCGAGGGGAGCTGCATGTCTGACTGCTGCGCCTCGAGCCTGTGCTGCTGGTGTGCGATCCTACAGGAGGCGAGGGAGGCCAAGGCCAGGGAGTATCATGTGCAGATCCCCAACGCAGTTCGAATGAAATGACGGTGAAATTTGTTCGATTCAACTCCCTCCCTCCCTCCCAGCTCTTCTCATCCTCCCTCCTCCCTCGCACTTTCCCTCTCTACCTGCTCCTCCTCTCCCGCTCATCACTCCTTCCGTCCTCGTCGAAGGCTGTATTACTCGTGACTGTCAACATAACCTCTTAACTCTCTCATTCCTCCCCAACATCAACAAACCCTCCTGCCCGCCATGCAATCTCTCATGGCCTCTCGGAGATGGGAACAAGCTTCGGGCGGACAGGGGTGTACGCCTCCTGCACTATCCCAACGTTGGAAGGAGATTCCTCCAGCGATCGCTCCGGGCTTGTTCGCGTCCTCTCCGGCGTTACGGCAAACGCCTCGCTCAAGCGGCTGCGCAGCTCCTGGTCGAAATCCTGCGCAGCTCGCTTCCCACTGTAGAGGGAGGGCAGCGAGTCAGAGCGAGGAGGAGAAGCAGATGAGAAACGAAGGGCGTGAGAAGGAGCAGGAGGTAGGAAAGCAGAAGTAAACGAGGAGGAGGAGCAGGAGGATGGCGACTGACCTGACTTGCCAGCCGCGGGGCTTCAGGACTGACTGAGTCAGGAGGTGCTTGTTCCGCTCGAGCATGGCCTCTATCTTTGCAGCCAGGGCGTCGTCACCGAAGCTACAGGACGAATCAGCAGCTGATCTTCTACCGCCTCCTCCTCCCACCCGTAACTCGCCGTCGCCATACTTGACGAGCTTTTCCTAGTGCTCCCCGAGGACTCATCCTTCACCTGCTTGCAGTGAGCGGCTGAGGTCAGGGCGGAGCATGCAAGCTGGACCTGAGGCTGCTTCCCTTGCGTTGGTACCCCTTCCTCGCTCGTGCCTGGGTTGATGATCCTTGAAGGGCTCTGATCGAGGGGATTCGAGGGGTCCCTCACACCCGCTCCTGCTTCCTGCTGCTGCTGCTGCTGCTGCTGCTGCTGCTGCTGCTGCTGCTGCTGCTGCTGCTGCTGCTGCTGCTGCTGCTGCTGCTGCTGCTGCTGCTGCTGCTGCTGCTGCTCAGGTTTCAGTTGGCCCCTGGGACTGTTCAACTCCTTGCGGTCCCTTCCCTCGCGATCTTTCCCCGCCTGTGGCAGAGCTGCCTCCTCCTCCTGCTCTTCTCTCCTCCCGCTCTCCTCCCTTTTGCCTCGTTCCTTCTCCCCCCGCACGTTCAGCTTGCCAGCCGCGCTCCTCGATCTCTGCTGGGAGGAAGGGAACGAGTTTGATACTCGTCGCATCGTAGCGGTAGAGGAAGGAGGGATAATCTCGATTGTCCTCCTCCCAGCCTTTGAGGCCGAGAGACCGGAAACCTCCGGTGCCGAGTCAGCTGGCGATCGAGAGGATGTGGTGGAGCGGGCTCGTGCAGCCTGCCGGCACCTGATCGCCTCGGCCTTGCGGACAGCAGCCTGGAGCTGATTTAGAGACGAGGAGACGAAGACGAAGAGAAGGATGAGGATGAGGAGGAAATGGAGGAGGAGGAGATGGAGGAGGGGTGTAGCAGCAGCAGCAGCAGCAGCAGCAGCAGCAGCAGCAGCAAGTGATGGTGGTGGTGGTGGTGGTGGTGATGATGATGATGGAGATGGAGATGGAGATGGAGATGGAGATGATGATGGAGATGATGATGAAGATGATGCTCCAAGATAATCACATCACAAGAGGCAAGGAAAAACAGGAAATGAGTCAAAAGGATACATAAGGAGGGCAGGAAAGAATGTCATGGGGGGGGGGGAAGGTAGGAGAGTGTATAGAATTCAGGAAGGGGAGAGGAGGGTTTACCAGTCGTTCTGCTGCAGACATCTTGGTAGTATTGAGAGAGATCCGAGGGGAAACAACTGTCCTATCTTCTTCCCTCTTTGCTCCCTTCCTGTCTTCCTTCCTGTTCGACATCACGCTCTCCTCCCCTCTCTTCCCCGTTGTCTTCTTCACTTCCTCTGCTCTCACTCTCTTCACCTCGCCGCCACTTGGTGTCTTGATCGCCCTGGTTGTCTTGGTATGGGAAGGCATGCTCATCTCACTGACATTCCTCTCCCTCCTCCCTGACCTCGCGTCCTCCTCCTCTTCTTCCTCTTCCTCCTCCTCCTCCTCCTCCTCCTCCTCCTCTCTCCTCGGACTCTCCTGCCCCCTTCTCTTCCTCTCAGCAAAGACGGGAGAGTCGACATCAAGAGACGAGAGCTGTCGGAAGGGAGTCAGCTGGGAGGTGAGTCCTCCCGTCCCATCCGTCGTCCACCAGTCGATCTTCGAGTCGTCCACGAACGTCGTGCTCATCGCTTCGCTCTCTTTCCACTCTCCCCTGCTTGGCGTCGGCCTCGTCCACTGGTGAAGAGGAGGAGGGAGAGGAGCGCGGAGGGAGGGAGGAAGAGGGGAAGGGAAGGAGGGAGGGAAGGGAGACATGGGAGGCTGGTCTCGGTTCTGCAGAGAGCTGGCCGATCCTGTCTGTGTATCCTCCTTTTCATCCTCCCTCCCTCCTTCATGCCGCTGCCCCTCATGACGTCTCTCCCCATTCATCCTCTCCTCCTCGTCCCCCTCCTCCTCCTCCTCCTCCTCCTCTCCTCTCTCTGGATCTTCCAACGCTCTGTTTCTCATCCTTGACTCTCCGTGACCCCTCCGGACATCATGGGAGAAGCTTGGCCCAGTCGGAGAGTCTTCTATCGTGGTGGTAGAGATCTGAACATGGCGCTGAACTTGCCATGTGAGCGATCTAGGATCATCAGGAACAACACATCTCACCTTCCCCGCTGTGACCCTTCCACTGGATCTTGCAGCTTCCTTCTCCTCCACCTCCTCCTCCTCCTCCTCCTCCCCTCTCAGCTCCTGGTCTTCTTTTACACTGACGTGGACCTTAGAGCAAAGTGAGCGGAGAGGAATTGCCGCCAGCATCGCGTCACCTGCTTGCTGCTCATCCTGCGGATCTGTTCTGCGAGCTCTTCGATTTTCTGGTGAGCTTCTTGCAGCTGTAAGCAGAAAAATGTTAGAGTGATCTCCTCGTCCTTCTCCTCGTCCCCGTCCCCGTCCCCGTCCCCGTCCCCGTCCTCGTCCTCGTCCTCCTCTCGCTCCTATCTTATTCTTGGTACTCCTGACCCTAATCTTGGTCCGCGGTTTTCCTCCGCTCCTGCTCCTGCTCCTCGGAGAAGACTACTTCCTTCCCCCCTCTCCTTCCCGCCGCCTCACCTCCTGAGCCTGATCATATCCTCGCTTCACTTCTCGCTGGTACTGGTCAATCATCTCCTTCATCCGCCTGCGATTCGAGTCCCTCCGGTCCGCGGTCTCCCGCTTCAGCTGCTCCAGCCTCTCCTGGTGCTCCTGCACCTCCTCCTGCAGACTCTGCGCCACTTGCTGGTGCTGTTCCCCCAGCCTTGACAGCATGAGCAGCCTCTTCCGGTTCTCGCTCGCATCCTCTTGGAACGACCTCAGCTCCCGCTTCACCTGATCATCGGATGAGTCAGCAGCCAGCACGACGTGCGCTCGTTTGCTCACCATCTCGGTCACATCACCGTCCTCTCGCACTCCTGCACAACAGACGTCAGGACACGATGTCGGGAGCATCGTAGGGGAGAGGAGGAGGCAGAGGGAGAGGCAGGCAAGTTTTGAGTCCAGTGACAACGGTAGTGAAGAAACGACGGCAAACAAGGAGCGAGAAGGTCAGCAGAGCAGAAGGACACATCGACAACCTCGTATGTTCTCCTCCTCCGAGTCCTCTTCTGCTCCAGCAAGCTCACCATCATCACTTGCCTCCTGCTCCCCATGGTGTGCGAAAGGGGCCAGCCCGTCGTGCAGGCCCCCACCAAACGTAGGAAACGCCTTCCCTCCGAACAGCAGGAATAGAATCACGTCCATGGAGAACTTGTAGGCTGCCGTAATGCACCTGAGCTGCAGAAAGAGCGCGTACAGCATTCCCTTCCCTTCCAAGATCCACCTCCTCCTCCACGAGACGTGGTGCCGCGTCGCAGGTAGTACATGCGCTGACACTTCCTCCCCTTCTTCAATCCCTGTTGAGGTGGTCCACCTAACGGCATGCCATCGTGCTCCATCCCTCCTCCTAGTCTTCCTACCCTCCTCTGCGCACGTGCTCTGACTCGACCCAGCAGGCGGGACTAGCGCTCCCCCACTGCCAATCCTGAGCAACCTCCTGACAGGATGCAAGATCGGGACGTGGAGGAAGTAGTATCTCAGGGCCTGCAAGACTTTGTTGACAACCAACGTCGTCTGCTCACAGAGCAGCAAAACATCCTCGTACGTCGACACCAGCATCTCAGTCATCCCCTCTGCGCATCCTCGGAGGATTCTCATGCCGAAAGTGCCGCCGAGACCCTCCAGCATGTTCACCTTGGGTTTCACCTGCCCCTCCGCGGGAGGGGAAGGAGCAGCTCGCAAAGATTGTCTTCCTACCCCATCGAAGTTCAAGTTCTCACCAGCGAAGCTCCCGCAGCAAGTCAGTGGAACGAGAACCATCGTGAGCAGCAGGCACATCCTGCAAGACAAAGTTGACTCTCGCATCTTTCAGTCTTGGTATGGCAGGGAAGATATATTGTTCAAGTCTTCAAGCCAACCTTCCAACGAGCCAGAGCCATCACGTGTACATGAGAGCCAACAGAGATGAGGCGATGCAACTGATGTGTCAAGGCAAGGAACTCCACTTCATATTGCACTTCCTGCTTGAGAAGAAAAGTCAACAATATGTCAAAATCCAAGAGGAAGCAGCTCTGAAACCGATTTCCTCCCAATTCTAAATGAAGTCTCCTCGACGCCTTCCATCCTTTTTCTTGTTCATTTGCCTGCTATTCAATCATCTATCAAGGCTCACTCCTCTCTCACATCGTTGGGATAATCATATTTTTTGTAATATAACCACACTTTAACACTCTGCAAACCTTTCAAAGGGTCTGTATGAGCCTCCATCTCTCCTTGTACCCTTCCCTCTATGCTCGACTCATTCCACTTGGCGCTTCATCAGCTGCATCCTGTCTCTGGTGCTATCTTAGCTCTTCAATCGCGCCTCCCGCTTCCTATCTCTTGATTCCCTGGTCTTGCTCTAACTTTCAACCTGCTTCCCGCTACAGTCCCATGCGTGGCTGCCCTCCACTCTCTTCCCCTAGCACACTCTCCCTCCCACCAACTCCCCAACACACCCAACTTGTCCAACATCATTCTAGTCTCGTTTCCACCAACGTGCTGCTGCCATCGCCTTCTGCCTCGCATCTCACCTCCCCCTTGTGTGTTCCTTTTGTTTCCCCCGTGCTGAACTTTATCATCGTCCTTTCTCATGTCTCTACAGAATCTCTCCTCCTTCTCTCTCCCTTCTCCTCCTCGAGTCTCTTCCCGTCTCTTCCTCCTCTTCCATCCTCCTCCTCTCTCCCTCTGTCCTCGCAGCCATCGCCCCCCTGCTACTTCGGCATGCAGGAGGATCCGGCCATTCTCCCTCCAGGCCCCTCTAACTACCCCACCCTTCTCAATACCGCTCATGTGACCTATTTCCCAGGGGTACTAAATCCCCGCCTCAGGCAATGCTAAGGTGCCTCCACTGGCCCGGGCCCGGAACACGGCGGGCCGAGTTTCTTCTCAAATGGTTGTATTGGGGGGGTGGGGTACATGTAGTACCCCCTTAATTGGTCTGGTTTGATGACATGGGGGTGGGTAATATGATTCAAAGTAGGGGTGAGAACAATTGAGTCGAGGCGAAGAGGCGCGTCATGGGCAAGTAGCTGCAGAAGTAGCTGCTGGAGGAAGAGGAAGAGGAAGAGGAAGAGGAAGAATATTTAGGAGGGAGAGAGAAGATCAGCAGCAGGTCGTTGAAGGAGCTTGTTCCTTACCCGTGAAACATGAGGCTCGAAGGATTCAAGAAGGAGGTGGTGGGCGTCTTGCTCCCCACGTTGGCTGGGTTGTTCATCGCCGCATGCACCATCATGAGCTTCTCTGTCCTCGACAGAGAAGCAGCCCGTGGCGACCACCTGGACTCCTTGAGCTCTGCCATTTCTTCGCCCTCAACCCGTAGCTCTTACCCCCGCCTTCTTGGTTCCGCTGCCGTCCATGCTGTTGGCGCACAGCAGGCCGAGCGTCTGGCAAGAGAACTGCGATACCAGTCCAAGTCAGCTGAGGACAGAGCTGCTGCGCTCGAAGATCGCCTGCACATGCTCCTCAAGGAGGAGGTGGAGAGGGACAAGCGTGCCAAGACAGAAGCCCAACAGGCAGCGAGCATGGAACAGAAGGCCGTCCAGATGGCGTCGGAGACTGGGTCGGCCCATGCTGCCCTCAAGATGGAGCTGAATGCCGAGAGGGCGAAGCGCAAAGCTTATCTGGAGGACATGAAGCTTGCCGGAGAGAACAAGGCCGACGCCAAGAATTTGCTCAATAATGCTAAGCAGCTGTTCTCCGATTCCATCCAGAAGCTTCAGAAGCACGTCAAGGAGAGTGTCGAGACGGACAACTTCCAGAAGAAGTTGACTGCACTGAAGAGACAGGAGCACAAGTATGAGGACCTTGCCTCGCTCTACAAGCGACAAGTTCCCTCCCGCGCCGATGCTGTCAGCAAGCAGCCGGAAACACGAACGATGAAGGCAGCGGCAGTGAAGCCTCCTGTTTCCGTGAAGGCCAAGACAGTGAGCGTCAAAGAGAGCAACAGACCTCTGTGGGGTAGCCGGAGCTGGCCTTCATACTACGACAACGTCCTGGACGATCGCGGATCTTCGAAGCTTTTCTCCGCTGATGCGCCCAAGCACGCGCACCCCAACTACGACGATGAAAACGACGACACGTCTGACAGCAGGTGGGTGAGGTCCAAATCAACAGGAAAGTTCCACCGCAGCCAGCTGGCTACGACCAACTCGCGCGTGTTTCGAGGTCGTCGTGGTCGTCAGCCGGCGCTTGCCAGGTCGAACATGATGGGGCAGGAGGATCAGCAGAAGGCGTATCTTGAGAGGTTCGAAGATGAGGTTCGGAGGATCGAAGAGCCCGTGAAGAGACTCGAGACGAGGCTGTCGAGTGCGTTGGTCCAGAATGATCAGGAGTCCTCCAATGAAGTCAGCGACCTGAAGAGGAACGTGAGGATCTTGAACTCAGACTTGCAAAGGGAGAAAGGCCGAGAGAAAGTGCTGGAGGGCATGGCCGCGAATGAGCAGAGCATGATCTTTAACATGCGGGAGAACATGGCCAAGTTGACGACCCAGATGAAGGCGGAAGAGGCAAAGCGTATCGCCGACATGCAACTCCAGATGCAGAAGACGGTGTCAAACCTGAAGGACAAGGAGGGCAAGTTGTACGAGGAGAAGATGAAGAAGGCGATGGACAGTGAGCTTCTCACCAAGGAGAAGCAGATGCAAAGTGCGATGCAGAGCTTTGTGGACCACCAGCAGAAGCACGAGCTGCAGATGGAGGGGGAGATGAAGGACATCTTGCAGAAAGAAGAGGCTGAGAAGCAGAGGGCCGTCAACGAGGCGAAGGCACTGGAGGTGCGCTCAACGGACCACAAGGCATGACGCTCCTGACACGAGTGACCAGGAATCGAAGACCATGGCTCTTGACCGCCTCAGAGAGCTGGCCCGGCAGAGGTTCGCGCTGGCGCAAGAGCAGGTGAGGAGAAGAGAGCTCGGGGGGTGTTGTTAGATTGTGATTTGTGCTCTGCAGAAGGACAAGGATGCAAAGACGTTGATCAAGGTGGCTAGAGAGGCACGTGGAGCCGTCGAGAGTCTGATGGACACTGCGGACAAGAGCAGTGCGGAGGTTGGGAGTGTGTTGGTGCAAGGTGAAAATGTGTGAAAGGTTGTACAGGCCACCAAGTATCGGGATTACTCGCAGAAAGAGGACCAGGAGATTCATTCGCTGCTGCACGAAATGGACAACCTGAGGAAGAGCGAAGTCGATAGCGAGAGGAAGAGGGAGAAGGCCAACCTCGACATGGCGTTCCTGCAGTCCAAGTGGAGGTCGAAGGTGAGCACGAGGGAACGAGGTCGGGGCAGGAAGGTGACGCGTCGGTTGCAGGAACGTATCCAGACCAAGAAGCTGGAGGAGATGTCAAGGGAGTTGCAGCGGATAAGGCAAGCCTGGAGCTCAGAGAAGCAGAGGGTGAGAGGCTGCTCCCGTTGTGCTGTGCACGTCTCAAACTCTCGCCTGCTAGGAGTCGCGAGTGCTGAGGAAGCAGTTCCTGATTGACGAAGAGTTCAAGGAGCTGAAGGAGCGACAGAAGCTCTTCGACGTCATGAACGCGCAGGAGCAGAGTGCCAAGGACTCTGCCCAGGGGACGCCCGATGTTGATGATGCCAGCGCGAGGGTGACGGAGCGGGTTCGCCCGGAGAGGAGAGAGGTGAGCATGGGAAGGAGGAAGGGATGGAACTGAGTACAACACAGGCATCCAGGCAAGATATCAGTAAGGAAAACATCTTGGGTAGCCTCGGCAGCTTCGGGGGAATGAGCATGGTACGTCCCTCGTGAGTAACCTCGCCTTCGCTCACTTGTCCTGTCCGGTGCAGCCATCGCATAAGAGGAGAGCAGCAGAAGCAGCTCCAGCTGAGGCCGAGCAGGACGAGGCTTCGGGTGAAGGCGAGTCGAAGCTTGACAAGATTTTCAACCATCCGAAAGGTTTCTCCTTGCTCTTCTCCCCTCCTTGCTCTCCTCCTCTCCTTGCTCGCCTCCCCTTCTTCCGTCTCACTCGTCTCTTTCGCTCAGACGATCCCAACTTCGACTCATACCTCATCTCCTCTCTCGCCTCCCTCAACAGCAAGCACAAGGCTGCACCAGCGCAGGTCACCAGCAGCAGGTAGGCTCAGGTTCTCGATCCTCCTCGTCTTACTCGGCTTGTAGGGGTCACAACAAGAAGAAAGCTGCTAAGCAGGACGGGGCCTTCTATGACTCGGTACTGGTGGCCTGAGTCGGGTTATGTTGAGTCGTGACGCATATTGCTGCAGGGACTGTTGGGGGATGTGAACGTGCCTGCGAAACAGACTGACCAGCCTCTGTTCTGGTTGTAGGTTGATGACATCAAGGGGACGGGTTGTAGACCTGTTCCTTACCTTTAGTTGTACATAAACTTGAGACATCATCTTCAACCTCATCCTCCTCCTCCTCCTCCTCCTCCTCCTCCTCCTCATCATCATCATCATCATCATCATCATCATCATCGCCGCCGCCGCCGCCGCCGCCGCCGCCGCCGCCGCCGCCACGGAAGTTCATGCTTGTCTTATTGTACTGGTGCAAGACGATCTCACCTGCTCATCCTCTCTTTCAATCGTTCCAATACCCCCGCACGTGCTGCCGTAGCTCTGCCGTAGATCCCAAGTCAGCCAAGCCTCACCTGCTCATGGCGGCCGGGCGCCGCCCGAGCCTGGTTTCCTACGGTAAAAAACCGGCCCCATTTGATAACAACCCCACCAGAAGTTTTTAAAGTAAGGGCCCCTTTAAGCCCCAAGCAGTTTTGATAGACCCAAGCTTTTAGCAGTTTTGAATTCTTTTAGAGGACCCTTGCAGGGTGGTGGGGCCGAGTGGAGGAGTTCCCCCCGTTCGTAACTGGAATGTTTGGTTTTATTGACAAAGCGGGCTTTGATTTGTCAACCCTGAAAAAAAAAACGTAACCGGGGGGGGGGGGGGGGGGGGGGTCGAGATGCTCTACGAAGCCTGGTCAAGGAGCAGGAGCAGGAGGAGGGGCAAGAGGATGTAGATGTGAAGGGGAGACTTATCTTTCTCCTCTCGTTGTCATGAGCAACAAACCAGGAAGGAAGACAACGAAGGGGAGGGAGGAGAAGGGAGGGAGGGAGGAAAAGCAGGACATGCAGGAGCTTGCCAGGAGGAGGGCAGCCATAGCACAGCTCTTGTCCTCCTTCACAGACTTCAAGGATGAGGACGAGACTCAGCGGCTCCTCTCGATCTCAGAGAGCCGGGAGGTCGACGAGAGGGGGCAGGAGGTCGTCTTCCTCAGAGGACAGGATCAGATCAGTGCTGCGCAACTTGCCATCTCCCCCCATGAGCTCCATGGCGAGCTCCTGTACAAGTTCACGAGGAGCAGCAAGACGCACGGCAAGCATGTCAACCAGCTCATCTTCGAGGCCAATGAGCACAGCGTCAGCGAGCTGGTCAGGACTTCGCTGGAATGTGTCCAGCGGTTGCTGCTCGCCGGATGCCTGTGCTTCAAGGAGATGGGAGGACTAGGAGCAGGAGCAGGAGCAGGAGCAGGAGCAGGAGCAGGAGCAGCAGGAGGTGAACCTGAGACCTTGGCCTACGAATGTTTGAAGCTCGCAGAGCACGTGAGTTACAACGTTTTGTCAAAACTTCAGGAATTCTCCCATGACGGCGGGACTTCGCATATGCTGTTTCAACTGCAACTGATCCACACCTGGAACAACTTGGGGTGTTTTTACATCCAATCAGGCAGACTGCAGGCAGCGATCTTCTTCCTTGATAAGGTTATTGTAACCCATCCGATCACACTGTGATGATGATGATGGTGGTCAAGGGGCTGATTGTTACGATGAGAATGGAAATGATGACGATGACGATGACGATGACGATGACGATGACGATGACGATGACGATGACGATGACGATGACGATGACGATGACGATGACATGACGATATGATTGTCGCGGTGGTGATGATGCCGACTACGACGCCGATTGAGAGTGCGCTACAACCATCTGATGTTTTCTGCTCCTTCAGGCTTGCAACTCAAATTTCTCCTTGCACGAAGACAAGCTCGACATAGCCTCGTCTCACTCAAACTTGTCCCTGGCCCTGTAAGTTACACCTCTGCTCTGCGCACGTTCTAACTTTGCCAGGATGAGATTCGGAGATTTCCTCCAGGCCATCCAGTCAGAAATTTCTTGTTGCGTCCTGCCATGCCGATGAAACTTCACAGGCACAGCAGGTTCGCAACGACGGTCCTGATCAACCTCTACCTCTCGAAGCAAGACTCCAGGTCCCTCAGTACATGTTGCATTGACCGTCCTCGTCCTTACACTTCCCTTTTCATCCTCCTCCTCATCCTTATCGTCCTTGTTCTCATCCTTATCCCCTTCACCGCCTGCCTTCTTCCTCCTTTTCCTCTGTTTCACGGTCCTCCTCCTCATCAACTCACTGCGTCGAGCTGCAGAGCTAGAGAGCCAATCTTACTTCGCCTTCTCTTCACTGTTCGCATGTTAGTCGATCTACACAGAATGTCTTCAAACAAATTCGAGGTGATAGCAAATTTCTTGACAACTCATCTCATCAACCCTTTCATGTCAGGCAAAGGAGTATGAGGACTTTGAGCACCGGTCGTTTTCTTCGTCGCCGTTACTTCTTCTGATGACACTGTACCAGGATTGAAACTCAACAGCACGACGACGAACGACTGAGGGAAGTGTTATCTCGATTTCTCTCAAGGGACCGAGACAGCAACAAGGTCAAGTTTGCCCCTTCCTCGGGAGAAGACAGAGGCCTTGGTGTATTGGTCGACGTTTCAGATTACTCGAGGTAAGACGATGAAGGGGATGTCTGTTTGTTGAATGCGCCCTTACATTATCATCAGTGGGCAGGTTGCGACTTTTGATTGGAAGAATGTTGAAAACATCATCTCCACAGTTCCATCGCTCACGGCGAGCAGGGAAGAAGAGGTGAGGAGAGGGACGGTCAGCGAGTTGTCAGTGCCGGATGAGATTTCACCTTTACATGAGAGATAAGATTGTACATTATCTTGTATCAGAGATAAGATTCTATCTTGTATCAGAGATAAGATTCTATCTTGTATCAGAGATAAGATTCTATCTTGTATCAGAGATAAGATTCTATCTTGTATCAGAGACGAAACTGATTTCAATTCTTCTCAAAACTAGATTTGCTGTCATTACAAGTTTTGTTGTTCTTCTTCTTTCCGGCTTCTGTTGTCTCATCGTGGGTCATGTAACATTACATCAGCAGGAAACTTCTGTTTGCTCCAACCCTGATGTGTCACAAGACAAGTCCTACAAAGAAACTTGCGAAGACGGTGTTTTTTGCTCTCAAAGAGGTGTTGTTGCTGAGATTTTTCACATGAGATGTTGAGATGTACATCGAACTGCAAGACAAATCAGGTCTCTCTCTTATGATTCTTCAACTTGTTGTTTTGCAACGTCTAGTTGAGCTTCTTTCAGGGTTCGATTTGTCAAGTTGTACCATCAGGGTCTCGTCAGCCATTTCATTGTCATCTCTGATTGAGACGATGAAGAAGATGATGCACCTTGCAAAGTGAGAGGAGATCAAACATTCCACCACCTGATCGTCTTGCGATGATAGATTTTGACCAAAACTTATCATCTCATTTCGAATATTGTCTTGTCTTGTCTTGTCTTGTCTTGTCTTGTCTTGTCTTGTCTTTGTCTTGTCTTGTCTTGTCTTGTCTTGTCTTGTCTTGCCTTGTCTTGTCTTGTCCCTCTGCTGCCTAACATTCCTCAAACCTGGCAACCTGAGACATTTCTTTAGCTCATCTGATTTTTCCTCAGAGATGTTCAGCTAGACATGTGGTTCTTTCATTCAGCTGATAAGATCACCATCAAGACCGACAGTGGTCTTCGCGCTTGCTTCCATTCCTCAGGTTCCAAATCGTTTCAGCGATTCCTCCTGCTCATGCTCCTGCTCCTGCTCCTGGTGTTGCTCCTGCTCCCGATTGTCTTCGTTGTTCTCTTCTGCTTCCACCTTGACCTCCTTGGCTCCTCCTTCTGCTCCTTGTGCTTCTCCTGCTCAACAAGTTCTTTTTTCCGGCATCATCCCATTCATCCTCACTTCCATGTGCTTGCACGCAGTCTCCCCTATCTCCCTGTTTGCAAGAATCGCCTCCTACCAGGAGTACAACCTGCCCATCCATGTTGCGGCGGCCACCCAGATCCAGGTGAGGAGAGGGGAGGAGGAGGGGGAGGAGGAGGAGGAGGAGGAGGAGGAGGAGAAGGAGAAGGAGAAGGAGAAGGAGAAGGAGAAGGAGGAGCAGGAGCAGCAGGAGGAGGAGGGAAGGTGACAAGTTGGGCAGAGGTACTTCAGAGGGCAAAGAGACAGGAAGATCGCGATAGCGAAGAAGAAGGAGGAAGAGAAGCTGTAAGAACATCTCTGCTGCTGCTCCTGCTTCTGCTCCTCCTGCTCCTGCTCCTGCTTCTGCTCCTCCTGCTCCTGGTGTTGCTCCTGGTGTTGCTCCTGCTCCTGGTGTTGCTCCTGCTCCTGCTCCACCTGATCCTCCTGTTCTCCTAGTTTATCCTCTCTGTGTTCTGCCTTGCTCTGTGCTCTGCTCCCCTCCCCGCTCTTCCTCCTTCCTCGTTCACTCTCAAGTTTTGTTGTCTTGTCGCTCATCAACTCTTGAATCGCCATCACATCACAACAGCGTCCTCTTCTTCGAAAGGTTTCAGATCGACGGTCTCCCTTCCCTCTGCCTCCATCGTCAGAGAGTGGCTGCCATGTCCTGCCAACAATCGATCTCCTACTCCAAGGTGACGCTCTTTGCACCGTCTCACAACAAACAAGATGCAAACATCATCATCATCATCATCATCATCATCATCATCATCATCATCATCATCATCATCATCATCATCATCATCATCATCATCATCGTTATCATCATCATCATCATCATCATCATCATCATCATCATCATCATCGTGATCGTCGTCATCATCATCATCATCATCATCATCATCCTCATCATCAGTATTACTGTTATATCAACAAAATCGTCACAACAGATTGCCAGGCTCTCATCAACGTCAGTCAGATCTTGAAGAACCATTCTCGTCAACTTCCAGATAATCCCACAGTCGAGCGACTCGCGCAGAGGGTCTCTCCTTCTAGTCCTAAGGTCCCACTGATCCTCCTCCTCTTCTCCTCTTCTTGTTCTTTTTCTCCTTTCCTTCTTCTCTCCTCCTCTCCTCCTTTACTCCTCTTTCCCCACCTCCTCTTCATCCTACTTTTCCTATCCTCTTCATCTCCTTCTCTGCTCTTCTTCTTCCTTTTTCCTCCTCCTCTTCCTCTCTCTTCCTCCATCTTGTCTTTCTCCTCATAGCCTTTCTTGTCTTCTCTCTTTCTCCTTCCCCCTCCTTCCCCCTCCCTCTCTCTCTTCTTCTAATTTCTTCTCTCACGTCCTCCTCTTCTTCTCATTGACATCTTCTGATCATTTTTCTCAGCTCGTCAAGTCAAAACTTAGCGACTGGATCAGGGCGAGCAAGTTCGTCTTCCTAGACGATCTCCGCTCCTCCTCCTCCTCCTCCTCCCCCGGTCAGCTTCATCACTCCACCTCTCCTCTTCACTCATCCTCTGCAGCTCCTCAAGGCAAGGAGGAGGAAGCGGAGGATCAAGAGGCTCCTCCTCCTCCTTCTCCTCCTCCTCCAGCCTCGTCACGACCCAACACTCCCTCCGACCTCAACGGCTTGTGGGCCTCCAAGCAACTCGCCGGCAAGTGAAGAGAAGAGGAGGAGGAGGAAGAGGCAACCTAGAGGACGAGGGGGAGGAGGAGTGAAAGGACAGAGCTCAGCAGGAGCGAACATCTCAGGGAGTATGGTGGAGGACATGAAGGAAGCGAGCAGGGAGCAGGGAGCAGGGAGCAGGGGAAGAAAACGAGCTGACGCTGCTGGCAGAGTTTGACGAGCGAGCGATTTTACATCAGCAAAGAGTCGCAGCGACAGACTTGATGTACCGACCAGCCATGAGGCTGGGGAAGAGAGTTCTCATCAGGTAGCTAGCAGACATCTCTTCATCTCTCCTTCTGCTTCCTCCTCTTCTCTCCTTCTCTCTCCTCCTCTCTCCTCCTTTCCTCCTCCTCTCTCCTCCTCTCCCTTCCTCTCCCTTCCTCTCCTCTCTCCTCCTCTCTCCCTCCTGTCTTTCTCCTCCTCAGCGCGATTCTGCTAGATTCTTCGAACGAGGAGACGCTCGCTTCTCTCGGCAAGTCGAAAGGCTGCGAGCCTGTCATGGGCCACATATTTCTCCTCTCCTCTTCAGTGCGGAAGCTCGTCCAGAGGAGGAGGAGGAGGGAGGGAGGGGGAAGGAGAAGGGTAAGACAAGAGGGAAGGAGGAGGACAGGAAGGAAGACAAGGAAAGGAAGGGGAAGGGAAGGAGGAAGGAAGAGGGAGTCAAGCAACCTTTCCATGCTTCTCTTCGTTCTTGCGTGGTAACTCCACTTCCTGTTACAAACCTTGAGGAGGAGCTGAAGAAAAGGTGAGCGAGGAGGCAGAGGAGGAGGAAGAGGTGGAGAAAGGGGGCGGGGGGTGGGGAGAAAGGGGAGTCAGCAACACCAGGAGCTGGAGCAGGAGCAGGAGCAGGAGCAGGAGCAGGAGCAGGAGCAGGAGCAGGAGCAGGAGCAGGAGCAGGAGCAGGAGCAGGAGCAGGAGCAGGAACAGGAGCAGGAGCAGGAAGAAGCAGCAGCAGCAGCAGCAGCAGCAGCAGCAGCAGCAGGAGCAGCAGGAGCAGGAGCAGGAGCAGGAGCAGGAGCAGGAGCAGGAGCAGGAGCAGGAGCAGGAGCAGGAGCAGGAGCAGGAGCAGGAGCAGGAGCAGGAGCAAGAGC